ATATATATATATATATATATATATATATATATATATATATATATATATATTAACAAAATAATTAAAATTTATATTTTACTCAGCGTTTTTTCACTCAATCATCTTTTTCCGTTTCATATCTGTATTCTTTTTTCCAATACTTATATAATTTTTGTTAGCCTGAATGTGCATTTTCAAAAATATTATGTTATTAAACTAAATTTGTATTGTTTTTAATAATATAAGCTACTTTATCTGTACAATTCTATTATCTTAGATCTGTTGCTAGGTTAAAATTGAAGAAAGGTTAAAATTGAAGATTATATGGTATTTATTTGGTCATGGAAAATTCTCCACTGTCGTCTGGAAAACATGAAAAAGTCAGGGAATTTCTAAATTGATTTTCTGTAGCAACTCTGAATAGACAAATAAAAACCAAACGCTGATTTTAGAGCGAATATTTTTAGTAATGTTAGAAGGATAATAAATAATGTTTGATAGTGTGAACGCATGCTTCGGATATATAGGTTTTTTAGTTTTCAAACGTACGCGGTGAATTAACTTTCCACGTCAATTCGATCTTGAGAATCCCAATTCTAAATATTAATATAATTAACAACTTTAATTAACCCGAGATTCCTCATTACTTTGATTCCTAATTATAGATGCGAAAAGTATCATCTTAGACAGGAGTTGAATTTGGACCCTTGCATTTGTCAGACGGGATGCCATACCAATTCGATTACTAAAACCTCGATGATACTCTTTGTAACGCAACGCTTATAAATAATTGTTTCGGAACGATAGCGTGTTGTTTGCCAGCGCGATAAATATAACTTTTATGATACACAGACTCTCGAAAGTATACAACATATTAAAATATATTAATAGGTAAATAAGATTCAACACTGATCTTAAGTGAATATTTTTAATATTGTTGGGAGGTTAATAATGTTTGACGGTGCCAATACATGCGCCGGATAGATTTTCTAATTTAAAACATTCTTACGCTGTTCTTTCGTCTATATCGTATTATATTATGCTTATTTAATAACTCTTTCAAGAAGAATTTTAAAGAGAAATTAGGAAAGCCCGAAGCAAACAATTTCGAAGAAAAATTAAACAAAATTAAATATAAGTAGATAAGTAGATAGGTAGGTATAATAGGTATTCGCGTTCTCATGAATGTAAACATAACTTCGAAGTTAAGATCTGCTTAATATTTCGACTGTCTAATCACGCGTTATGTGGTAATATCATTTATTTGTATATGAAGAAAAATGGTGAGTATTTTGAGAATGATTTATGAATGAAAGAACAAACTGTAATCATTCTTCTTTTTTCTTCTTTCCTCATTCCCTTTTTCTCACACACTAGCACGCAACGTATACACATAAGGTTATAAGGCATACACGTATTTTAACTTTTTCTGATATTTTCTCAGTAAAAACATTAAAAAGATTAATCCTAAAGGGTTTTGGATACAACATTTTTTGTTTTTTCAAGTTTTGCGATGAAAAATATACCCTTTTCATTTAAGAAAAAAAGTTGACTTTGAAAACCATAGTTCACGTAGTTTTTAAGGTCGCCATATCCCCTCTAAAACTCTAAAACTATATTCAATTTTTTTTTCTTACAACACATACTTTAGAAAATATTGAAGTTGAAATTTTTCAAATGAACATCCTGTATATACATAAAACCAATAATTTCAGTTATAGATAATAACATTTAGAAATTCTATATATTTCTTATCCTCCTTCCTATTTTCCTCTTTTCTTTCTCTCTCTCTCTCTTTCTTTCTCTTTCTCGTTTTATCCGTCTCTCGCAATGTTCCATTTCATTTTCGTACTTATATTTACTATGCAAAAACATTTCTAATTTCGTGCAGCCAGTGCGAGATAATCTTTTGCAAAAATATTATTTTCCCAAGAATTTTGCTTATATACATACGCATATAAACGTTAAATATTCTGACGTTGAAATGTCTTCTGAGGGAAAATTGTAGTGCTCTGATTGAAAAATATCCGGAAATATCCTGATTGAAATATCCTAATTTTCTGCTCGGTTTTATCTGGCGAAAAACCTAACCACACGTATTTATAAATTTTTCTGCAAACTTTTTGTATCTTTTTAAATTTACAAACTAAATTTTGAAAATAATTGATAGAAATTGTTTTTGAAATTTTTCTGATTAGAGCAAGTACATTTTTTATATGTACAAGCTGCAAAACTTTTGGATTAGACAAATATTACGCTAACTGACAACTCGAGATTTTATCTTTGAAATTTATTATCGTTTTCGTCACATATTGAGCAATGCACCAATTCATTTTTGCACGTACTTTTATAGTGTAAAAGCATTTGTAATTCTGTACAACTAATACGACTTTGTAGAAAAAAGTTAGTATTTTGTCAGTAAAGTTTTTATGTATGACACTCCCTTAACACATCTGTGATCTCCCTAAATACATCAATAACTTTGTAATAAGGAACGTAGACGACGCAGTTTATTTGTTTTTTTAAGAAATCACTTAAATAAATATTATTTATAGTATAATTCATATTTGTGAACTAATGCATCAACGTGTTAAGTTATAAGTTATACAAATAATGTTCTACCTTTATAGGTATAAATAGGACCAAGCAAGATTATCGATGTGACGTTGCGACTGGAAATCTCCCTTCCCGGATTCGAGGAGGAATGCATTGCGTACGCGCACGTGTCGTGTGAGTTGCCTGGAATCATCGATGCATCAAGTAGATTCCAAACTGAATTTACTAGTCATCGACGTTTGACTTCATGTCGTTTGACTTCTGACGATGCGACGAACAAGCGAACGCTTTCAACCGATGAGCGAGCTGAAAAACTGAAGCCACAACTTACAACTTAAATATTTCTCACGAGTCTGCGCGATTGTCTATCGTTTGTGGGTACTGTAGCACTCACCCTGCCGCCAATACCAATGTAGATTTCTAATTAGCTAAAATCCCTTATTATATCGTAAATACATACACACATACACACACACACACACACACACACACACACATATATATATATATATATATATATATATATATATATATATATATATTTATATAGACGCCTTCACCGCTACGCCGAATACGATCAGAAGAGGAAGTTTATTTTTTACATCGTCGCCGTTGATTATCATATTTTCGCCTGAGATTCTGGCGGACGTAGCGTGTGGTGCGTATAGCGAATATACTGCTGCTGTTCCTCTCGTGAGAAAATCTTGAAAAAGAAAAAAGAAGTAGACTTGCATCGTATGTCCATGATAAATGAGAAACTGATCTAGAGGAATGGCAAAGGACGCGATTACATATAGGAAGCGAAAAATATAATAGGCAATTCCGATTGCCAATATGATCTAAGAGACACGTTCGATTTATTTGAATTAGCTTGATAGTGCATACTTTTAAGTAGTGTCATTCCGATAAGTATCGATTGTTGCTGATCGGAACAAGCGCCAGTCAGCCTAGATCAAACATAATAAGCGTTGATCGATGTAAGAATAATGAGTCGATAGCACAATCGATCTTTTCTGGAAGAAATACAAATGTATACGCGACTGTAGTTTCGTTTTTTTGATTGTTATACCGATCGTTAAAGAGAGCAATTAAAAAGAGCTGATCATACACATTTACATACATATACAAACACATATGTTACTACCGTTACTATAGCTACCATTATTATTATAAATTACTGCTAATACTATATTAGTACTAGTGAGCTATCGCTGCAAAACTACTATTAAATATTACCCACAACTGTGGGGAGACGAGGTAACACACGCTGCGCACCTTTTCAAACTTGGAAGATGCAGGGGGATTACTTAACGTACAAGTACTAAATTATTTACTTTTATTTCTTTTTTCCCCTTTTTTATTATTTCGACAAGATACGAATCGATTGAAGAGAAGTATATTTCTCATTTTCTGCATTCAGTATACCATGACAACTCGCAATCCCGACTACATCTTTCGCATAATGTAACTTATTATTGATTAATATAATTATTATTATTAATAATAATTATTGGTAATTATTATTAATTAATATATAATTAATTAATCGTGCAAGAAAGCTGGGAACGACGTATTATCGTTAAACAAATTTTAATTTTACTACAGTATTGTAAGGCAGGGTTATGTGATATTTACATGATTTAACACAAAAGACTAAATGTATTTTTGAATCCGTATTTTTATTTTCTCTCGCGTGGTTACGCCGTATACCTCAATGATAGCGCAGCTTTAGCGAGATATTTTTCGAATTTCGCACATTCTCACGACACATGACGCTACGCCTCGTCTCTTGACGATCGTCAACCTATAACTTATAGTTAGCTTTAAAACAAAAAAGAAAAAAAGAATTAGATCGAAATAGAATACATACAACCGTTATATTTATATTCAGATACATACACATTAGTAATCAGTGCGGCCTGTATGTATATTGGATAAGTGTCTGTTCTACGTTTGTACGCGTGTGCGTGTGGGCGAGTTCACGAGCGAACGAGTACTGCTGAGTTTCGTACGAGTGAATGGATTATGGGCCTCGCAATCTATCTTTTATGATAATGAATAAAATTTCAAAGAGCGTAGAGAAACCAATTGATTATAGAACTTCAATTCGTGAATATAGAGTCCTCATTTAGTAATCTAATTCTTATGCTTGTGATCTGCATATGACGAAAAAAAAGAGAGATTCATCATTTACCTGTTTTCACGGTTATCCACGTCGAGCGAAAAATCGTCGTTATGAAAATGCTAATATATGACAGAGAACCTCTGTGGATAACAGCTACATATCGCATCAATAGAAAAGAGACTGAACAGAGGAGAAAAGTTTTACAATATCTGATTGTAAAATAATGCATATACGATGTATGAGCGTGGATGAGCGTATTTAATGAACTCTATTTCACGATATTGGACATAAAGAGAAAAAAAGTGCTTGCGATGTTTAATGTTTGCGTGAGATTTCGCCGTAGATTTAATTCTTTTATGTGGGATCGATCGTGAATATTTTATTCTGGTATAAACTTATAAAAAGTGAAAATTCTTTAACTATTTGAAAATTTCGCAAATTCATCCTAAAGGAAAAGATTTACGATCGCCCTGCTCTGTTGTTGCTTCCATTCGTGACACACGATACTAACTACTTATTATGTTACTTTCACACGTGAAACGAATATTTCATAATTCAATATCGTGGTCTGCAATGAATGACGTCAAGTACATAAAAAATAGAAATAATCTAAATTTGGCCGCGAGACACCAGCGTTCGAAAGTCACAATGCGATTTTGTACGTGAACGAGATCGAGCGAAGTGTATATATAAACATTAGAGGCTGTATAAAATACTACGAGAAAGGCGCGTGTTGCATTGGGTATTTTTATTATTAATCTCGCTTGAGTTCCTATTTGCTTAGCGCGGTATCGTAAATGCGGTATCTAGTTGCACGTGGAAACAGGCGTCACGCTTCCTTAGTGAGACAGTTTCTTCTTTTTCGTAATGTGCTGTGTTTCCATGGACTCACATTTTCGTGAACAAGTGTGCGTGTATATATACGTGTATAAATGTTTCTGTGTATGTAAAACGAATAATTTTTATTCGAAACGACGACGATGTCCCCATCATCCCTATCGCGGTCGGAAAACTCGAAGTCCCAACTTCGTCTGTGTTCGTTTTTCATTGTTTCTCAAAATCGATCTACTGTGACATCCAGCATTTTTATCAATCGTTGAAATTAGTTCAATGACTATTCGGTTATTCTTGTTATTTCAAAGTATGTTACATAGTGCAAATCGTAAAAAAGATTGGTTTATACAGATACAAAATACAGTGATTTTATCGCAAAGTGTGCAGATTATTTTGCCGACAATTACATAATTAAGGAAACTCTTTTTGCAATTGTCACAAACAAGATGTAGGGTCAACAATTAATTGCTCCTATTCATGACACGTGACACTAATTATTATTAGAAAACTGTGATTCAATTAATTATTCGTTCTTTTTATATTCGCGAGAGAAGAGGTTGGAAAATCGGATCATTAATAACAAAAACAAAATTACATATATACTTTAACGTTTATTAAGTTAACATATCGAACGTGGACTAATTATTTGCTTATACTGCACGTCCACATTTTATATCTTGGTATAAAAAAACTGTACAGGTAAATTTTTTTCACTTCAATTTTAAGTGGGTAAGAGTAAAAGGAGGTCAAAGGAAGGGAAAAAGGGAAGAGAGGATTTTCGAGCATTCACGCCATATATACGCACATATACAATCTCGCACATTCTAAATAACTAAATCCTCTATGTGCTTATTGCATCTCAAGATATCTCTTAAAACAGAACTCGGAATAGTTTGCTCATTCCAGACGACTTTCGGGAGCTACGTCTTCTATCTCTCCTTGCCGCGCGGCAGGCAATTGACAGTCGCGGCTCTCAGCCTTGGGGCCCGTTGGAATTACAAGGGGCGCATCTATGTGGTAGCCTACCGAAACTGCGTTCGGGAAGCGCACTGATAAATGCTAACGCATGACTCAATTCTTGTACATGATAATACGTTATTTTATCTTTATCGCTCATTACATAGATGCGTTCTTTATAATCTGAACGGCTCTGAGGTTGAGAGCCGCGATCGTCAGTTGCGTGGCCTACCGCGCGACAAAGGAAGATAGAAGGCGTAGCTCCCGAAAATCGCCTAAAATAGGCAAATTATTCCGAGTTTTGCCTTAAAATGTGTATGTATTCCTGTGAGTAATTGTTATTTGAGGAGGATGGAAGTACAGATATTGTTTTGCAGCATCTGTGCGCTAACAATGTCTAATGAAAGGCATATAAAAGCATCAGAAATGTGCAAACTCCGATGACAAGGCCGAGTATAACGGAATCTCTTCTTTTACGTAAATTTATCCTTTGTAGTAGACTATTCACCGCCGGGAACCGATTAGAAATGTCGTTGAATCTGGTTCGTATACGTTTGAATGCCTGCCTCTGAGTCATTAGATGATCTCGTGTCTCCATCGCTATGCTTATCTGATCGTTGATTAAGCGATCCGAGCTAAAAGTATAACAACTGTAAAACGTCGATGTTGCAAGATTTTCATGCAAAGTATACAGGATATTTAACAATTAATGACACATTTGTATGTAGAATTCATCAAACTGAACACAAAATTTCTCTATTGTTTCGTAAACCACTGTAAAATTTTAAGTTATTAATAAGAAGATTGATGATTATGCGCAATATAGTAGATGATGTTATAACAACATCTGTTGTCATGTGCTTGTATATTTAGGCCCACTTCCACAATCTCCAGTTAACTTAACTGGCTGGTTATTCCATTGGACTTGACCAATCGCATTTGACATTAAGAAGAGTTAATCAGAATTAATCAATCTATTGGGACTTAACCAGTAGTTAAAATTAAACGAATGTTGTGGAACTTGGCCTAAGTTAAACTGAACAAAAAAAGTTCTTAATCATTTTGCAAATAACTACATTTTTAGTCATTAATTAAAAAAGATTAGTATATGATTGGGCGCGATAAAATTTTGTGTCCAGTTTGATGAGTTCTAGTTACAGGTTATAGTTACAGGTTACTAGTTATAGGTTTGTCATTAATTGTTAAATAACCTGTATAACATGGTGACAAAACATATAATAAAATATGTATCCTAATTATTTGTCAAAGACCAGTAATATTAGCAAAATTGAATAAATCAATATTTTAACTAAGTTAAATTTAAAAAAGTTAATGTCTTATAAAACTAACTTCTTTAAGTTAAAATTTACCTTAACAAAAATGATCTTAATTAAAAGTTAAGTTAAAATTAACTTATTAAAGTTAAAAGTTAATTATATAATGTTTTTGATTTTTTAATCATAGATTTTTTTTAATTTATGTAAAATAATGAAAAGGTAATCTTTTATAAGAAAATACCAATAAGAAAATACTCTTTTGTGCTTAAGATTTCATATAAGAAAAAAATACTGGCATTCAGAGAGATGAAAAAAATTCTGCTTGCATTATTTTTCATTTTTCTTATTCTACATTGTAAGCAGCCCACAATGATTTTAACATTAATGAGAATTTTAACTTATATAAAAAGATTAATAAATTAAAATTAGTACATTTTAAAATAACTAAATTAAAAGTTGACTCATTTTAAATTAACTAAGTCAAAAGATATTAAGATTTAATTGATTAACTAGTTATTACACGACCTTACATAAGTAAGATAACATTGCAAAAGTATTCACTAATATCTGACTCACTTGTGAATATGTTGATTTTCTTTAAGGTACATCTCTCGTCGATTCAGTCCACTAGCACTTTTGTAATTGCTGTATAAAATAGATGTAAGACAGACATAAAAAAATTTAATTGACATAACATTGTGTGATTATTATACAGAATATAATTATGTGAGTAATATTCATATAGAAACAATAACAATTATACATACTCTATTTCCTTGCGAACACTGCCTAGGAGATCCTCACGGTCTTTCCTAGCTGTGAAATTATTCCTAATCTTATTGAATTCTAGTTTATAGTCCTTTAGTATCTCTTTGTGACGTTGCATTGTATGTAACATAGCTGCTCCATTTGGTTGTAATTCACTCATCCTCTCATTTATAGAGAACAACTGCATACATCAAGTGTTAATTAATCTGTTTATTTAAGAAAATACCCACAGTAAACGATAGAAAAAGCTTACTTTGGCAAGCAATGTCTCAATTTCTGAGGCCATGTTTTCGAACACGTGTTCCTCATCCATGAGAGGTACTTCATCTGCATTGACATGTCTGGCGCCAGCATTTATGCCTAGCTTACTGAATGCTACTAACTTTGCATCAATTTCATTTTCTAGATGTCTCGCCTGCTTTCTCAAATCTAAAACATTATATATACATATATATATGTGTGTATGTATGAAAAACATTTATAAATGAAATTTGTTGTTTTCAGTTGCGTTTGTTTAAGCCATATATACAAATGTCGTACACGTTTTAAAATGTAATTATTACAATAATTTATTTGATTTCTTCAAATTCAGACTAGTATGAATATACAGAACAGCATTATAACCGTAATATATAAAATTACCCCAATTAAAAATTACCCCATTTTAAATCTTCCCATGAGATTATGTACTCTTGAAGTGTATAACTTCATATGTCAAGACTATTATGACGTGATCTATGTATATTTTACAAAAGTTTAAATATATTATGTATAACTTTACATGTATATAAGGGGTTGAACAGTGTACAATTCCAGTTATAATTGCAGACATAAAATAAAAAACAAAGAAACTCATATCTTATAAAAAGAAACTAGACGAGAAAAATGTAATACAGTTTATAAAAAACAAACTCACGAACATTGCCGCAGAACTTTGCAACATTCAGACAACAAAGCACGTAACATTATAAGCGTATCGTAAACAGTGAAAACAGAAACGACAGGACGGACAAAACAAACATGTGAAAATACGTGAAGAAAAAGAATATTCCAAATATATATGAACACTTTTTAGATATCTTGTGGCTTTTTGTGCCCTTTGACAGTTACTGTTCGGTAAACACAGAACTAATTTTTTTCTTAATTGTTTAACGACATATTCGAGTTTTTTTTTAAACAATTCTAGGATACCTTCCCAGTCGATCGCGCCCAATGAGCTAGCCATTTATCGCGAATCAGAAAGTCGCCCACGAACTTATCACCACATAACACGCTTTCCTTTAGGTTCGTCAGCAATCTCACTACGCACGATGACAGCTAATGAATGACGACACAGCAGGACGATAAGCAAATATGCAGATGTGATTATAATCGTTGGGATCTATTCTTTTTAGCTGTACTTTGTGCACTTTTTCATAAATTTCTAATAAATTTTTCTTTTTTTTCTTTTTTAAGAATCATCTACAATGCGGTTGAAGATATCAATAGGCCTGTTCTTTATAGTTGCACTGCTGAACTGGTGCAATATATTGAAGTGAGACAAATATACGTTTTCTCACTCTAACTTATTGCACTAGTTCAGCAGTGCAGCTATAAAGAACAGGCCTAATGACGTATGTACACTCGTGATCTGAAAGGTTTGTGCACCGATTTTTGGTTGATTTCGGAACGCGTCCCAACTTCAGGAGAGAGACAACCACTGCTTGACACACCAGCGCCGCCACTTATTACGAGATCAGAAGGATGGCATATACGTGGTGTCAAAAAGTAATGATTTGATGTATAATTGAAAGAAACAAATAGTTATTGTGATTGTGATTGTGAAACAGTGTATTAAAGAAAAACATTAATCTTGTAATAATATTTTAAGTGAAAAATATTTTTAAATTTGAGTATAAGAGTTGAAAAAGTTATAAACAATTTGTTTAATGTTAATAATTGTAGAATTATAAATTTGCCATCAACATTAAATGAATATGTAAATAATGCTATTACTTGTGTAGGTGGGGAATTATATTATTGTGCTCAGCAAAAAAATAAACAGCAGACCAAGTCAAGTGATGAGTATTTTGTAAAAAAAACATAGCAACGGCAAATTTATAACTCTAAAATTATTAAAGAAATTATGGTTTATAACTTTTTTAACTTACATTCAAGTTGAAAATATAAAAATAAACTTACTGTGTCTCTATGTTATTGTGCTCAGCAAAAATAACCAGCAGACCAAGTTGAGTGATATGAATATCTTGTTAAAATAATCACTTCACTTGGTCTGCTGTTTATTTTTGCTGAGCGCAATAGAACGCATAGAGATGTATGTACTCTGCAAAAATAAGCAGCAGACCAAGTCGAGTGATTATTTTAACAAGATATTCATATCATTTGACTTAGTCTACTGGTTATTTTTGCTGAGAGCAATAACATAGAGACACAGGAATTTATTTTTATATTTTCAACTTGAATGTAAGTTAAAAAAGTTATAAACTATAATTTCTTTAATTTTAATAATTTTAGAGCTATAAGTTTGTTGCTATATTTTTTTGACAAGATACTCATATCACTTGGTCTGCTGCTTATTTTTTTTTGCTGAGCGCAATAACATAATTCCCCACCTACACAAATAATAGCATTATTTACATATTCATTTAATGTTGATGACAAATTTATAATTCTACATTAACATTAAAGAAATTATAGTTAGGTAATTATTAAATTTAGCACTACCAACTTCGATTTTGACGAAACTAGATTCAATCGACGCGTTTTTTTAAAAAGAAACAACTTTTTCCTCTAACAAAATCGTCGCTCTCTACTGCGAAGCGAAATATTAATAGACAAAGTTGAGGGCGCGTTAGGTTAGAAAATCTGTCATACCGTCTATCTCTAGCTATGTGATTGGGGGGCTTCGCCCCCCAGACCTCTCGTATCACGGCGGGGTGGGAGGCACAATCTCTTGTGTTTAAGCTAGAGTGAATTTTTCACAAAAGGGTGCATTCCGAGTTGCACATGAAGCGCGTATTTCCTACAGTATACGTGATATAAACTATAGTGACATAAATGCGCGCATATGCATAACACGGAACGCAGCCTGTAGCTCCCACCCCGCCCTAATGTGGGGAGTCTGGGGGGCGAAGCCCCCCAGTCACATAGCTAGAGATAGACGGTATGACAGATTTTCTAACCTAACACGCCTTCAGATTTGTCTATTAATATCTCGCTTCGTAGTAGAGAGCGACGATTTTGTTAGAGGAAAAAGTTGTTTCTTTTTAAAAAACGCTTCGATTGAGCCTAGTTTTGTCAAAATCGGAGGTGGTGGTGCTAAACTTAATAATTACCCTTTTCTTTAATACACTGTTTCACAATCATAGTCATAATTATAATCACAATCACAATAACTATTTGTTTTTTTCAATTATACGTCAAATCACTACTTTTTGACACCACGTATATGCCATCCTTCTACTCTCGTAAAGCCCATTCTACAATTGCGTAACGTGATGTAAGTGGTTGTAAGTGATTACGACAACCAATCAGAGTAAAGCAATCAGTGAATAAAACATTCGGATTGGTTGACTCTTACGTTCACTACTACGCTTACGCAATTGTAGAATGGGCTTAATAAGTGGCGGCGCTGGCGTGTCAAGAAGTCGTTGTCTTTTTTTTGAAGTTGGGATGCGTTCCGAAATCAACCAAAAATCGGTGCACAAATCTTTTAAGATGCCTCCCTATGCGGCGTAACTTGCGTAAGCGTAACTTGCGCCAACTAATCATATCATCTCATTTAAGTACCAGTTCCCGCCTAGTTATTTTGTGCTTTTTACGCTATTTTCGTTACGCCAAATCCAATTTTTGGCTGTATTAGTAAGCGTATCTTTTAATGTCGTTTGAACTGAAAGATGTGATGAAATCAATATTGTCACATATAAAAAGTTTTTCAAAGCAATAATAAGAAATGGATAAAGATCAAATCAGGATAAGTTAAGAAATCGAGTTTTATATCAAGTTTTATATCGCTTTATATCGAGTTTATTATATAATGTTGTAAAGCGTTCTGTCATATTTGATTCACTACTCAGGGCATGTCGATACAAAAGTTTTTAAAGTTACATCTGTTTATCAATAGAGTGTTCGTGTTGCTTGCATTTTTGCATGTAAAAGCTTTCTCATACAGCACAGAAGCTTGCAGTTACGTTGCAGGAAAGTTACATCACTTCAAATTTCAACGTCACATTGCAGAAACATAACATAGATATCGAATTGTAACATTTCATCGGAAATGTTAAAACAACATTGCAGAAACATTATAAATTATTAAAACTATAATGCTATAATTTATGCATAATACATGTATGATATATGCGTTTTGTAAAGATACAATTAATGTAATAATGTAATTCGGTTGATATATTAGGACCTTAACTTAGTTTCCGCCCAAAAAATACTGAGAAAAAGCATTTATTGTAAAAAATTTATTTAAATTATTTCAATGAAAGTATTTTCCATCACTTTCTACAACTTTTTGCCATCTTTCTGGCAACTGGGCGATACCATCTCGATAAAACGATGTTTGTTTCGAAGCAATCCATTCGTCCACCCATTCTCGCACTTCTTCAACATTTCGGAAGCGTG